TGAAGAACAGCATGGAGGTTCCTTAAAAACTAAAAATAGAACTACCATACAACCCAGCAATCCCACTACTGGGCATATACCCTGAGAAAACCATAATTCAAAAAGAGTCATGTACCACAGTATTCACTGCAGCACTATTTACAATCGCCAGGACATGGAAGCAACCTAAGTGTCTGTCAATAGATGAATGGATAAAGAAGATGTGGCACATATATACAATGGAATATTACTCAGCCATAAAAAGAAACGAAATTGAGTTATTTGTAGTGAGGTGGATGGACCTAGAGTCTGTCTTACAGAGTGAAGTAAGTCAGAAAGAGAAAAACAAATACTGTATGTTAACACATATATATGGAATCTAAAAACAAAATTGTTCTGATGAACCTAGGGGCACGACAGGAATAAAGCCGCAGACATAGAGGATGGACTTGAGGACTCAGGGAGTTGGAAGGGTAAACTGGGATAAAGTGAGAGAGTAACATTGACATATATATACTATGAAATGTAAAATAGATAACTAGTGGGTGGCAGCTGCATAGCACAGGGAGATCAGCTCGGAGCTTTGCGACCACCTAGAGGGGTGGGATTAGGAGTGTTGGAGGGAGACGCAAGAGGGAGGGGATATGGGGATATACATATGCATATAGCTGATTCACTTTGTTATACAGAAACTAACACAACATTATAAAGCAATTATACTCCAATAAAGATGTTAAAAAACAAGTTTCACAAGGGAAGGGTAAATAAAATGGGACAACATTGACATGTGAAGAAATAATGGCTGAGAATTTTCAAGTCTAATAAAACCTATTGGTGGTCAAATAAAAGAAGCTCAATGAATACCAATCTGGACAAGTAAAAAAGAAAGCACACCTAGACTTATAATAGTCAAACAACTAAAAACAAAAGATAAAGGGAAAAATCTTAAAAACAAATAAACAACGAGAAATTACCTTAAGGAAACAATTAAAATGATGGCTAACTTCTCAACAGTAACAATGGATACCAGACACTGGAAGACAATAAAAAGACAACTTACAAAGATGGAAAATAACTGCAAACTTAGAGTTCAATACTGAGCAAAAATATCTATCAAAATTGAAGATAAAATATAGATGTTCCCAAACAAAGCCTGAAAGAATTTGTCACGGTTGATCCACAGTACAAGAAAGTTCTTTAGGATGAAGGGAAATTATCCCAGATGGAAGCACAAAGATGCAAGAAGTAATAAACAAACAGTACAAAAGGGAAATTTGAAAGACTCGGTACTGCCTAAAGCAGCAATGTAACAATATTTTAGATGTTTATGAAATACACAGAAATAGGAGAGGGATTCGTTAAATGTCTCTCAAAATTATTACATATTAGAGAAGTGCAAAATAAACTCTAAGAAACCCTTACACAACCATCAGACTGACTAAAATTCAAAAGGCTGACAGTATCAATGTTGATTAGGAATTGGTATATAAAGCAACAGAACTCTTCTACCTTACTGACAGCAGTGTAAATTAGTATGTATTTACATATGTATTTGGCAGTATGTATCTATTAAAGCTAAACTAAAACCTATCCGGTGATTCAGTGATTTTACTCAGATATGAAGTATGTAAAAATTCATTAAGCTTACACTGAAGACTTGTGTACTTTACAGTACATAAGTCATATCTTAATTAAGAAAACTTAGATCACATATATGAAAAATAATGATAAGAAAGCAATAAAATTATAATAGCCCAGTAGAAAATTAGGCAAAGAATAGGAAGGTAGAGAAAAACAAATGGCTTATAAACATGAAAATATGCTCAACTTCATTCATCAAGTTAAAATTAAAATAGCAAAAAGATACTTTAGACAATTTCAGTTGGTTTCTTACACTTTCTTACACAAGAGTCCTGACAAGTAGATTTGTACAAGTATGCCAAGACATAATTATGTATGAGAATGCTCACTTCAGTATTGTCCATAAAAATAAAAGATTAGAAACAACCTAAATGTTCACCAAGTTTGAATCATTTACATAAATCATTGTACTTTGATATAGTGGAATAACTATGTAACCATTAAAATAATAAAGTAGGTATATTTGAGTTTCTATGGAAATATCACTAAGATATATTAAGGGAAAAGGGTAATATTATAACAGCAAGCAGAATATGATCCCAACTATATAAAAACTTTAAATGTATGTGGTATAATAATAACAGGTTATTTTTAGGGAATAGGAACTAAAGATTGAGAGTGGAGGGAGACAACAATTTTTATTTTATATTTCCATGTACTATCTGAAATTTTTTATGTTCATTTCATTTACATTTTAAAACTAAGCAAGGAGAACATATCTGAATCCTAGCCCAAATACTAGCCCCCAAACTCAAATTGCTAGAAAACTAAGTGATGAAACAAATGTTCACAAATGACTGTAAATCAAGATTTCTAAAGGAAGTAAAGAATCGAACTACAGAGCTCTTGATGTTTAAAATGAATAATTTTTCATTGCAAGTGGCTGTAATGCCAGCAAGTATTTGGTGTGGGTGATATATTGAGAATACAGAGAGAATAACAGTAAAAAGAGACAGCTGGATCTAAAATGTTTACAAATCCCTTCCAAAGGCAAGGCATATTTGTAACAATTTTAAAAACACAAATGCTAACAATGGGTAAAAATAATATGGTAACTATTCACATAAAATACAAGGATTATTTCATATTTTCCAAATCTTTGCTGAAAGCAGTAATCATACAAACATAAAATAATCCTGAAATAACTTAAATTCATAAAAATTTTACTTGGACTTTCCATTTCTCATATTTGATCTCATATCAATTCCAACATTGCTTATGATTTATAATGATAAAAATTTCACAGTCATAATTTACACATCTTTCTTTATGACTTTAGGGACAAAAAAGGAGAATTAGGATAATTAAACTTTATAAAACAATTAGTGATGCATGTCTCAGCACTTATGTTTATAACGTTTATTAACATACCAGTTGTGACTAAAGAGAAAGTGTTATCTGCATGCCAAATACTTAATGACAAGTTTAAAAAGTACAGTATCTACAATATAAGTATTTCACTACAAAATTAAATATCTTCCAATTTTATTCTCAGTTCAGACTTTTTGAGTGGACATGTTATTTAAAATATCCTGTCAAAGATCCTTACAAAATTGAATTTTGCCATACATTTTACGTATAATTAATTTTGAAAAATAGACAGCAATTTTCCACAATAAATATTGATTGATAAACTTTGTATAAAAATATTTCATTCAATATAAAAACCCATGAAAACAATTTCTTAATGTTCATACAAATGCAAGTAACAATATTTCAGTTCTAAAGCAGTCTGTTGTATTCTAAGCTGCTCTCCCAACATCATGATGAGGTACAGGAACACTTTCCAGCTTTAAACAATTGTTCAAGAAGGAGTAAAACTACTCACTTACCCAGTTTCTTTTTATAAACAGTTCTTCACATTTTTGGCAACTATGTTTAAATTTTTTTCTCAAATGTGGCTTCTTTTAATCATAATAGAGTGGACAATTTTAATTTTGTGTTTTAAAATTGAGAATGTGTTTTCTCAATAGTAAATACTTTAGAAGAGTCTGTAACTATCAAGATGACCCTTGGAAGATGAAAAGTAGAACACATTTCTTTTAAAAACTACAGGAAATAATTTAGAGAGAGGTTTTTTTTCAGCCAAGTCTACGTGACATATGGTTGCAGTATGTCTTGATTCATTTAGCACGTCGTCCAAGCCCACGGGAGACCCGTGGGCACAACTCTTACAGCCTAATCTTTATATTGTGCCAATGAAAGTAGCTTTGGAATCTGGTATCAATTTGTGGAGGAAGTTTATCTTCTCTCAACTTATGAGTAGTTAAAATGGATATTCCTAAGAGAATATGACCATATGTTTGATATATGGAAAATGGGAGTTGGTTTTATTGGAAATGGATGAGAGGAGGTAGAAGAATGTCATGCTTAGGGTCATAAAACCTTATTATAGGTCCAGGATCACCCACTGGTTTGGGACTTTCATCCAGGTCTTTTTACTACTTGAGACTAGGTTTAAAAATAAAAGACTATCTGTTCCTATTCCTCTTGTCACTATGTAACTCATCTCTAAATGGGAACACAGGGCTCCAATAGGAGGCCCCTATTCATACTGATGTGTATCTCGTCTTCTTTCTTCTTCTTTGTTCTTGGGGGCTTTAACATAGGACATCTATAATCTCATTAACCCTGACAAATGATTTATCTTCAAACAATCTGTTTAAACTTGAAGCCATAGCTCAAATTATTAATTTCTGAGTTTATTTTCATGAGGCTCAGATTTAGAGAGACTGATTCACAGCTTGTGTTGCAATTTTAGGCCTTTAAATGAAATACTCAAAATTCCAGATTTATCCTAAGTTTAAAAGTCCAAACCTATATTTCAGCTCCCCTCTCCCTTAAAATTTTTTTTTACAGAATCTCTGCAGAGAAATGGAGAATATCTAACCAAACTGAAGTACAAAACATTCTAAATTTTCATCTAAATGGTAATTTTCATAAAGACCCAATAATATACAGTAATACATACAGTGAAATGAACTTTTGAAAGTGAAAATCAGAGCCCTAGCACACTGACAGTAAATATGATCTAAATTTATATATACCAATAGGCCAGACTGCACCACTTCAACCTGCTCTATGAAAAGAAAGTCCCTTGGAATTTCAATTTCTGAAATGTTTTTGTTTGTTTTGGTAACTGAAGCTGCACCAGAATGGTATCAGTGATCTCAGGTTTAAGGTGCTGTCACAAAATTCCTTTAACTCAGACCTGCAGCACTACGGTGGTCCTGGGATGTCTGAATTCACTACAGAGTACACACAGCATGGCAAAACCTTGGGCTGACTGGAACATTTATCAGTTTCTCTTCCCTGTTGTTCTGGGTCCCACACCACAGGAGAATGGGAGGATGTCATATCTCAGAGGACTTGCTGAGTGTTTAATCTCTAATTATATGCAGAATGGGGCAAAATGTAATTTTCTATCTATGTATATTCTGTGAGCAGTATTAAAAACAATGGTCAATTTTACTAAAATTTCAATACATGTAATAATTGTTTCTGAAACTATAAATCACTGAAAAATCATTGAAAAAAATTTTTTCTCTCTTTATCTTTGTATAGAACTAATTATTCAGTGAGTTGATATGGGTCCTCTACCTTTCTCTTGTAAGAGAGTCACTGGTTGAGTGTGTGAGATCCTGAGATATCTCAACAATACTTGTGTCATGAAACAGCTTTATTGATTTCTAGTTGGCAAATGATCATGAAAGGTGTGAAAAAATATCTATCAATTGGGGTCTGAACAGCTCATTTCATATGGTCACAACTGGAATAGAGAAAGGGGGAGGATTTTATTTATGGTAATAGTAAATCAGTGGAATCCTCTCTCAGTCTAAGTATGAAACTAGTGATGTTTAACAACTCATAGGAATATTTTTGAGGACTGAAGTATTTATTTTGACGATACTGATAATCTTGAAATTCTTATTGCCATTGAACAACTATCTCTGCAGGTTTCTTAATTTAGTTTGTTGTTCAATGTGATGTCTGGGTTTTCTTGCCGTACCAAGAACTGAAATAAACAATAAACATTAAAGTCTCTAAAGGCAAAGACAACATCTGTGTAATTCTCACTTAATTTTCAGCCAGTGTTATATTTCTACTTAATAAATTTTATTTGATTACAAGTCAGTTTTTTTTAATGGATGATAATGTAAGGTATGGGTTAAAAACATAATCACTAGCATTCAAAAGATCCGGGTTTATATATGGATTCCACTAACTCTGTGACCTTGGGCAAATTACTTAATCTTCTAATCTTTAAAAGGAATGTAATAGTAGTACATGTCTCATACAATTATTTCAATAATTAATTGAGCTAAAGTATGGAAAATATTAGCACAGTGGTTGATTTATATACAGGAAGAATGCTCGGTAAGTGAGGAAAAAAACAACGTACATGCAAGTGGGAATGGGGAAGATGATTCCAGAGTGATACACAGTAACATTTAGCAATCTAACTGTAGCAGAAAGTGAGCATTTCAACATCTTTTATAGAGAAGAGGTGAAGCAGACATTATGTTTTCACAAGGGCTTGTGTTCTCATCAAAATACTTGTTGTGGGATTCACCATTCTAACAGGTAGTTTCATTCTATGGTACAGATCTTAGATTTGATACATAAACATTTGTTTCTTGTATATCTTCACAAGTATGCCCCCTAGACCAGGGCTAAATCATCTATCTGCAACATTCAGTTGAGTGCCTACCACAGAGTAAGTACTCAGGGAAAGTATGTTAAATCGAAACATCTTCAAATCACACAGTCTAGTAGCACAAAATACAAATACATTGCACACTTTTTAAAATGCACAAGGATGCCTATTAGGTATAATTGTGTGTATGTGTAAATTAGTGCACAGAAAAGACAACTCAAGGTAAAATAACCACACCCTTGAAAATACAGTTACATTTCACAAGTGTTAGTGTGAAGTGTTCTTTCAGATGTGAGTGTAATTCAGATGACTAGCTCTTTCCACATGGGTTCGATGTTCAAAGAAAATAGTACTGTTGGGTTTATGGCTAGCTAGACACAAGCCACTGGAGACCTTCCCAAGGTGCTGATTAATCATTAGAAGAGTCGGTCTACACTGCTAGGCTCTTGAAGGCTTTCTCACATTTTTTGTCTATATTATTGAGTGAGGACAAACAGATACCATTAGTTTTGAAACAATCATTTTCAAATTTGCCTCTGACAGTTTTCTTTTCTCTCCCCTAACCAACACTAGAGTGGAATATATTACCCTTCATATGACTCATTACATCATAAATCTGAGATGTGTCTGGAATGAAATTAGACAGTTAGGTCACACACCTTGTTTTCCACTATTTTCTGAGTCTGAGTAGAACAAGTCTGAAATTGAGGTATGTAAGATACAAAAGTCTTCTGATCAGAAGTTCCTAAATTGAAGTTATTTTCTACAAGGTGTGAGCAACTGTCCTGGAGGATTCTGATGTCGGTGAATAAACAGTGGGATGGGAATGGGGACAACACTCTCGACTCATCAGTCAAAAGCACATCACTCTCTCTCTTTTTGATTGAAGTGACTCCTAAATAATAGACAGACCTTTCGTCATTATTTTCTTCAGGGAAATTTCCCTCGAGTTTCAAAAGTTCATCCAATCCTCCTGAGAATGGAAGGTGTGGTGAAATTATATTGGGATGCTGATCTGATAATATAAAAAATGCCTGGGTTTCTATCTCCCATGAGTTATTAGAGAAAGAATCCTTAGGTAGAGAATTGTTGCTAGAGAAGCATTTGCTGACTGCGCTATTTACAAGCCTTTGCTCTTCCTCAGTTTCACCTGATTTAGAGTTGCTGAGCAGGGTGGCATATTTAACAGAGGGTTGTCGCCTACTTTCCTCCTCACAGGTTATCTCTGTGCTCTCAACCTCAGAGAAGTGAGCACTGTTGCATTGGTCACTAATACAAATAGAACCCTTTTCAAGATCCCGAGTCATCAAAAGTAGAGAGACTGTAGTTGGTGGTACCATCTCATCTTTATTTTTCCATGATGTATCAACACTGATATCTTCTGAAATGGTTTCAGGCTCCAAAAGAAGAGGACCAAATGTCACTGATTCTGTATGCTTGATAAAAAGATGCTCAAATGTTTCTGGCTAAAAGAAAAGACACATTTTAATACTCAATTGTATTAATTTTTTTTCTTTTTGCTTCACTGTGATATCATGGAAGAAATAGAAGTGTGCAAGGTTAATACTAAAGGACATAAGTCAAGCACAAATTAACTGGTTTTGGTCTGAAATAAACAGACCAAAAATCATAAGGGAGAGGCAGTATAAGATAGTGTTTAAAAGTGGGATGAGACAGGCGTGAGTCATTCTGTTTCTATGACCACGGACAAGTACATCAACCTCTCTGCCTTTCAGTTTCCTCATCTGTAAAATTGTGTTCAATATTTACTTCATGGTGTTGTGCAAGGAATAAATTAGATAGTGTCTGAAAGTGCTTAGCTCTCAATAAAGATTACTGTAATTAGAAAGTGCTATCTTCAGAAGAATTCCTAATATTTTATAGCAAATTACACTTCCATGAACTAAAAAATTTAACCCAAGTTTAAAAAGTAAATTGATATAAAATTGAATGAGCAAAACAACTTGTCCAAAGATAGCTAAAATAAGTACTCCATGACATAAGATATGATATGAAGGTAAACTATATGTGGCCTTATCTGCCTTACATCATACTAAAAATCTGTTTATGACTATCAGAAAGTAAGAACTAAGAATATCTGTTTGTGAAAACAATGAAGGTGAAAGAGATGATCACAGCCTTTTAAATTACCATTCCTTATAAATAACTTCATATAAAAATACAAACTATAGGACATGTGGAATGAAGACAAAGATGCAAAACAAATGCACATCATATTTTTTATAAGAACAGTGGTTACATCACAACAAAAAATTCTGCCAAGCAGCTACAAGCGAGAATCTGTGCGTAAAAAAAGCTCAACTCATACAATGTAAACACGTTGGAAAAGTAAATGCAAAATAAAAAATACTGTAGACACAGCACATTAAAAAATTAACACAACTAAATGAAGTGCTACAGAAAATGTGCTCAATTTTTGTTACACATATAATTAAACTTTTGAATTTTACAATTTTTAAACTAATAGAATGAATTCAGATTTATTGCTTGAAATAACAATATAACCAACTATTCTTCATAATGGCAAATATATTCCATATAAAAACACAATTCATTTAACATAGTTTTGAACTCTTAAATGAAATATATTGGTGATTATAGCCATAAAGGAATAAATATATGAAACACCAAATATAATGGAACAGACTTATACAGATATTAAAATACTGCATAATAACTAATACTATATTAACACAACCTTTTCTCTTATTCTATGAACATAGTATGTGAAGAGAAAACTGTTCCTGTGCCTATTTTCTTTCTGACAGAAATCTATTAGATTTATAATTTCCTTCAAATATTTTCTTGCTTATTTTGTGTTTCCTAATGTTATGACTATATATGTATAGAATTTCTTAAAATTTAAAGTAACCTAGAAATTAAGATCTCCAAATAAAGGAATGTCATGCTATCAACATGAAAACAAAAAATACAAATAGCACATAGCATACAGTCAAACTCACAGCTGTTCTTCAAATGACGTGTTTGGCATATTTCATGCCCTCTAAAACTTCATAATTGGTAACTAATTATTATGTCAAATAATTTACATGTCTTCAAATGCATTTGATGAAAGATTTCACTAATAATTAAGAAATCACATATCCATATATTATTAAAGTATATTTTATAAATGGGTCACAAACATTTATTAAAAGTATGTTTATTAAAAAATCATTTCAATCACCATATGCATCTAACTTTTCAAGATTTTAGAACAGTCTGGAAGCACATTGAATATGTATTCAGCTGGTAGGAATTAAAGAATATCCTTTCATATTTTCACACTTCAATTTTACATTACAATGATGTCTATTAAAAGTCAGTGAAGGGGGAAAGGACACATTCTTCCTGATTGTTTGGGGTTTTTTTTAGATTCAAATCAAACTATGAATGAAATCTAAATGTAAGTAATATATATGTAGCCTAAATCTGAGTTATTTGGGTTCATCAAACAGAGGCTTTGGTTTATTCTGAATGTGAGCAATATACCACACAAGTTAAATTCATAGAAATAGCAGGTGGTCTTTTTTTCAGGTAGAAAAGTCCTATGTTTGCCTTGGACTAGTTCTAAAAACTCCAGAGAGTCTCCTTTTTTGCATCACTGCCCACTTACCTGACTGCCAGAAGCTTTGGGTGGTTCAGTGCAAATAAATTAAATTTAGTAAAGAATTTCATGAGGAGGTTGAATTGGAGGCTGATGTGTTTTCTGATCTGGTCAATCTGACCTGGATATGTCAGGTCATCCTGGTACAAACTGTAACTTCTACTGGCCTTTGACCAGAACAAACTGTCTTTCTTTGAACTGAAATGGAAGTTAGCACTTAAGCCATTTTTAAGGCTATTGAAAATGAAAATTCCCTTATTGATCAAAGTTAGATATACATAAAAGCTATCAATATAAGACATTCAAAAGAATACCCAAATGGGTCAGTTTATAGGCTGAAGTGTCTAAAAGAATATAAAATGGAAAATTTTGGACATAAAATATGAACTAAATATTTTGACTGCATTCTATATTTAGAGCCATTGTATTTGCAAAGCTATGTGTCAGAAGTTGCAGTTTTCACCTAGTCACAGCATAGTCTACTATATATTTGATGATGTCTAATAAATCTGTGGTAAGAGCAACAGTCATAATTCTTTAATGTTTTATGACCAAATGACAAATCAAAAGCTAGATATCATATTACTTTTTAAACTTTAGATGACTTGAAAAGTAATCATACATCCAAACTGAATTAGACTCAGACGTATACCTTGACCCCAAATTTACCCAACTATTTTAAGTTCTAAATCAACATAATCCACCATATTTCAGTTCTCAATAGTTCCACCAAAATTTTTTAGATTGTCTCCCCTTCTTCAAAATGTAAAAATCTTCTAATACTCTATAGAATGTTGGGAAGTTGGTAGATTGGGTTCATCTGTAGTGATCATGATTAGACTTCAAAGAATGTCCATTCTCTGTTCAGATAAAATAAAACAAAATAAGAAAGAAAAATAAAAAAATCACTCAGAAAGCAAAAGATAAAAGATTTCAAAAAGATGTTCTGTCAAGCATGAGTTCTGGATTATAAATTCTTGTGTTATACTACAGTAATGCATGTTTTTAGGAAAAGATAAAATTCTGAATTAAGGTGGCCTCTTGCATTTTCTTAATGCATGCCCTAATATCACACTCTAAGGACAGCCTTAATGATCCCAGAAAAGGAAAAACTATAGAGGAATAACAGAATAAGTAGAATGAGGAAAAACAAAGAGCTGGAAAAATAAAAAGGAAGTAGAGGAACAGCACTATTAAAGAGTTTGGAAGAGGAAAGAGTAAAAGAGTGTATCTCTGAAAACAAATATTTAAAAATTAAAAGAAAGAAGAGTTGAAATAGTGAAGAAGAATAGAATGACAGAATCATTATCATGATTTTTTTAATCTAGAGAAATGTTCTAAGAAATCATCTGGTCCACATTTCTCCCCTTTTATAGACAAAGCAATCAAGGCTTAAAGTTGCACAGCTAATTATAGCAGAGTGAGGCCCCTGACTTTTTTTCTACTCCAACAAGCTTTCTATAATACAATGGAAGATGAAAAGATATTCCAAACACAAGTAGGGAGGAGAACATGTTGTTTTGTTTTTTCTATTTGTTGTCATAGATTTGAGCTGATTAAATTCATCCTCTCTTCTGGTTCCTTATAACCCAAGGGCATATATATAGATATTAAGAAGAACAAGAAAATAGAGAAAACTGAAGTCATATTTTAGGGAAGTGAAATATATGCTTCTAAGCCCAGTCATGTGCCCTTCTAGAAAGAACTTCTTACTCAAAGCTGCACCAGCTCTTCTACACTTCTATAAAGCCATTCTAGCAATTTCAGGGATGCTCTGCCTCAGATCCATGAGAATGGTGTTCTGGGAGCTTGTGGGTTGCTGAGCTTCTTATTTGGAGAGCTAGAACAGGCTGAGGAATCTAGGATGGTCTTTGAACCACAAGAAAAAAATCCATTTGTTTTTAGATTTAACACTCTAAAGTAGGGTGTTAAGTGGAGTACACTCTTATGGAAATAGTCATAAACGTAGACAACAAAGGAGCAGGGATAGACTCTCCCCACCTCAAATATAGATGGCTTGGATTTAGAGGAAGAAAGTAATATTTTAGGCAAAAATGCTAAAGAAAAAGGTAAAACAAAAACAAATTGGCTACAGTCTTTTAAACACTGTGAAATATGAATTAGAAGAAAAGCAAGGTTATTGACTCACTGCAATACATTTTCCTACAATAAGAATTCAACCTTTGTTTAAAATTTTTATTTTTATCCTCTTTAAGAACTTTTTAAGAGATTCTGATTTTTTCATTTATTTTATTGAAGTATAATTGATTTACAAGGTTGTTAAAGATTCTGATTTCTAAAGTATCATGAGAAATGGTGTAGAGAAGTATTCTGGTTCAAGCTGGCAGTTTGAGCATGTATATTTCTCTCTTATCTCTGTAGAGACTCTGTTAGGATGAAAGTACATGAATAAATCAAATATATACCCACAACAAAGAAGATAGTCTGAGAAGGTTAAGAGGTTATGAGATTTTGAATTTCTAAAAGATGGAAAACCGAAGGAGATGAACAAAGGAAGCTGCAGACCAGAATACCTCCAGAGTGGGCTATAGCTGAAAAAAGACAGTTTGCCCTGTTGAATACAGTGGAGATGGGAGGGAGGGCAGTGGGGGGGGGGGTGAAAAAATGGAAGGTAAAAACACAGGAAGAAATTAGACCTTTGGCTGAAAACTGGAAACTCTGCATATGAATGGGGCTCTTCTAACTCTGCTGCACATGGAAGAGCCTTCATACTCTCCACACCCAAATTGAGGTTTTATTCTCAAAAGTAATTAAGAAATTATCTGGGGAGGAGACCTTCAAGATGGCAGAAGAGTAAGATGTGGAGATCACCTTCCTCCCCACAAATACATCAGAAATACATCTACATATGGAACAACTCCTACAGAACACCTATTGAGCGCTGGCAGAAGACCTCAGACTTCCCAAAAGGCAAGAAACTCCCCACGTACCGGGGTAGGGCAAAAGAAAAAAGAAAAAAGCAGACAAAAGGATAGGGACGGGACCTGCACCAGTGGGAGGGAGCTGTGAAGGGGGAAAGTTTTCCACACACTAGAAGCCCCTTCACTGGCGGAGACAGGGGCGGGGGTGGCAGGGGGAAGCTTCAGAGCCATGGAGGAGAGTGCAGCAACAGGGATGCGGAGGGCAAAGCAGAGAGATTCCCGCACAGAGGATCGGTGCCGACCAGCACTCACCAGCCCGAGAGGCTTGTCTGCTCACCCGCCGGGGCGGATGGGGGCTGGAAGGTTAGGCTCGAGCTTCGGAGGTCGGATACCAGGGAAAGGACTGGGGTTGGCGGCGTGAACACAGCCTGAAGGGGGCTAGTGCGCCACAGCTAGCTGGGAGGAAGTACAGGAAAAAGTCTGGACCTGCCGAAGAGGCAAGAGACCATAGTTTCAGGGTGCACGAGGAGAGGGGAT